TATTACTTATTATAATTTAGGTTTTGCATGTAAAATTGAATAGACGTATAAGAAAAACAATTCGTTCAAAATTCATAGGTACTCTTGGAATTAACCCATCTTATGATGTGCAACCTTATCTTCGATCCAGTATCCGTAAGTATTCACTTAATATTATAAAATATAAACACGCTTTATTTATTTATTTATTTTATAATAGAGAGCATGCCTTATCCTGTAGATTTTGAATTTCCAACCGGATTGTTTATTAGTAATGTTATATTTACTTTCCCAAGTTTCCTTGTAACGGTTGAGACTGAACAAAGGTATGTTAAAAAAATGTTAAGATACTATAAGAAAGATTCATTAACACGCTTATAAATTTTGGCATTAATATTTAAGAACGCGAACTGTAAGTATCGTTTATGATCTTTATTATTAAAAGAATATTTCATGTTAATTTAGAATTTAATAAATTCTTATTTCATAAAAAGATACTCGGTATGTTTGGTCTTGTTGGAGGTGCCTGGGGTCTAGCTGCGGCACTATATGCGTCTCTATTTGGTAATAAATTTATGATTTTTTTTGTTATAACATGTTCATTTATCTTTGACTTATTCACTCATTAAATTTGTATATAGGTGTAGATATGATTCGTCCTTGGGGTTGTGTGCAACAGTATTGTTGTAATTTAACAAGATATCATAATAAACTTAAAAAAACGCTTCCAACAATTCCATTCGTCGATCCTTCTCCCTCTCAAAATGTCAAAGAATTACAGGATCGTTTAAATGCTCTTGAATTTGTTCTAAAGGAATATGTCGTAGATGTAAAGCATTTGGAAAATTTAAATAATTTTGAAATTAGAAATAAAGAATTGCCACTTATTCCTAATACTATACCAATGAATCAAAATCAAAGAGAACTTCCACCCATTCCTAATAATCATTCTTCTGTACCTTATTCACATCCTTTACCTGATACTACTAGTACTCGTTTTTTTGCATCATCAAATTAACGTTATGGACCATCTAGTCAACATTATGAATCATATCTGTTGTTATTAATAGTAAAGCAAAGCAATTTATAAAGTTATGATTTGATTTCATTTCCTTTGAATTCAAATTTTCTTAAGACTATTTTTTAAAAAAATTATCAATTTAAATAGAGAATTCAGTATATATTCTTATCTCTTCATATTGTAATTTATTATATATGTAACATTAAACTTATATAAAAAATTTTTATATAAATATTTCATTTAAAATAATAACAATTTAATTATAGCAATTATGAATATAATTAAATTTACTGTAGATGATCAATAAAAATAACTTACTCTTTATATTAATAATACATTTTTTTAAAGTAAAATTTTAGTTTTTATTTTATAAAAAAAAAATTATAGTTAAAAAATTTACATAAGAATAAATTACATTTATATTATAATTTATTATTATTAATAAAATTTTATATTAAATAAATTTATAAAATGATGAATACTTATATTATACAAATATAATGATAAAAAATCAGAAACAAATAGGATATTAATTAATATTTTAGTTAATATCCTAATTTTTCTTATCAAAATTCAATTAAGAAACCTGATGACTATTAAAAAAAATAATAGTAAAAGAGTACAATCAGATTCTAATTAAATACATAAATCATGAACTCATCAATTATAAATTTATATTAATATAATATACTTATTGATATAAATTTATTTAATATTAAATTCTAATTAATAATTTTAAATATAATTTATAATAATGATATATATAAAAATTGGATATTAATTGATTATAAATATATAAATTATATCAATTAAATATTCTAAATGATGTTTTATAAACTTATTAATAAATTTATTTATTTAAATTTATTTAAATTTACTAAAAATTTATAAATCAAAAATAGTAAAAAATAAGTTTCTAAAAAAAAAACAGCAAACTTTATTAATTTTTCTATAAAAGATTTTAAAATTCTTTTAGTAATATTAAGTGATCCTTAACTGATTCTTATAATTAAAAGATTACTAACTCTAGAGAAGTCTAATTATTTATCTATAATAAATAATCATTATCAAAAAAATTTTATAATTAATTTATAAAAAATGAAAATAATATTCAAAATTAGTAATTTTGATAGAATTGCTAAGTATAGAACTGGTTTTTGAGACTCAGTCCTAAGTTCTTAATTTTAAATTTTAAAAAATTCTAAGATTCTAAAAGGATTTATTATATATTTTCATTTAGTAGCTCATTAAAATATTATAATAGACAAAGTTTCTTATAATTTTCTTGAGACTTTTAAGACTGTTTAAAACCACTTAACATCCCTGGTTCTTTTATATTATAACTAAAGTATATATATAGCTTATTTTTTATCAAATGCAAATTTAATACAATTAAATTTTTATTTTTTTATTCTATAAGTATTTAATACTAATTAAATGTAATATTAACATAATTTTATAAAAATATATAATAGTATTAAAAACTTAATTAGTATATATTGATTAAAAAATATTAAAGATCTCTATTTAGATGCTAAAAGATTACTTTTTATTTAAAATTCTAATTATCAATTTTAGATATTTCTGAACTATGACATAGATGATTAGCAAAATTTCTTTTAATATCTATCAAACTTTACTATATATATTAGTTATAATTATATATAAAATTAAAATTAAAATCCAAAAATTAAAATATTTTAACTTAGAGGCTATGGTTAAAATTAAAAGTTGAAATACTAAAATTATATTATTATATTACATGATTTTCTTAAAATATAATATTTTTAGTCAATATTACTTTGATTTTTATAAAATAAATCTTTATTTAAATTTCTTGTTGATGATTAAATCATTAGATATAGATCTATTAATTTTTCAGAATAAAATTTTAGTAATTAATTGATTCAAATAGATTTGTAATAAAATTATAAGAAATAGTTATAGTTTAGTTTTATTGTTTTTTATTTTTTATAAATAATTATAATATAAATTTAATAAACTTGTAATAATCCTATATTGTTAAAATAACTATTTGAATCCTTAAAGGACTAGCATTCTTGGCTTAGTTGATAAAAACTTGAATTCCTTTTATAAGTTTTACTATAAAAGTCATAGATTTAATTTTCAGCTAAGACATAAAACAATATAATTTTTATAAGAATTTTTAATTGTAGCTAAATATGTAGATATATTTACTCAAATAAGTTAAACTATGTGATACTAACCTATGTGACAAATAGGGTTTCATACATGAAAAAATTTCTGAGTCCCCAGAATATATATGAAAAATTATACAGGTGACAAAAATGAGGCGATGATATCGCGCCTGCGATGAATAAATTTACTCTTTGATGTTATTAGATTGAAAATTTAGATAGTGAAGACGAATACTCAGAATTTTGTGAAAACACGATAATCAAATTTTTGACTTTGTTAAAAGAGATAAATGTTTATTTTAAAAATAATAAATGATCTTATTTTTATGTTAAAACACCACTAATTTTTTCAGAAGTTGGAAAATGTTTCATCTAATTTTAACCCTCTTAAACAAATGGTTCAACAAATAAAAGAATATAAACGTCAATTAACAATGCCAAGAATGTGGAATGATAAAATATTCTTTAAAAATTTCGTCAAAAAAAATACTTTAAAGTATCGTTAAAAAAATTTTTGTAAAAAAAAAAAAAATTCCGTTTAAAAAATTCATTCGTTTAAAAAAAAAAGAAATTTTAAAAAAAATCATGTGACCGGTGACAAATTTACTGGAATTTTTATTGTTCCGGACTTAACCGTCCTCTAGTGATATTAATAAGGGTAACAATTATTCTATTTGTTATCATACATGTTTTTGTACAATAATAGTTTATTCTTTACGAGGGAAATTGTCCATATGGTCGCATTTCGTTGTTTTGGGAAAATTAATTCAACGCCGCAGGTCTTTGTTGGATATAAATAAACGTAATAAGCTTGCAAAAGTGAATTATCATTTTTTTTTATTACATTTTAAAAGAATGTATTACCGGCATCGCAAGACGGAACCCAAAACGGTCCATTTTTTAAGAATCTTTATTATAACAATACTAATAATTTTCATTATAGAGTATATTATTTTTTTGATTAAATTTGTCGCGAATGATGACCCAGTTATTCAAAGTTCAATTAAATAGGATGAATAAGTACCAATTCCTAGTATGTTTTAAAAAATTCAAAATAAAAAAAAAAGAGGATACTTTTATTAAATAATTAATACTTTTTTTAGATATAGCATTTCATTTTTTGTCCCAATATCAATTTAATATTCAATGCACATATTTAAGTAAGTTATATTTTTTTTTTCCTTTTTTTTCAAGAATAAAAAATATAAATAAAATAGATTTGAACATTAATTTCTCAATGAATATTTATTATGTAGTGGGATTTTCTTCTACAGAACATCTTTGTAATGATACAATAACACAACCAAAATATTAGGAATTTGAACGTAGATTTAACATTTACAAAATTAAATGGCCCAAATGGTCTAAATGAAAATGCAATATCATTGTTATCGATAATCATCTCTTCTCGGGAATGTTGTACAATTTTATGTTCAAGATTCTGGTAAATTCATAATAAATATATTGAATTCTTTCAGGGAAAGAAAATATATTAAAATTTAATACATATAATTAGAAAAAGGTCCAATAGGTATTGAAAATTTCACAGCCTTGAATGAACTTTATTTCTTGCCTAAAAGACAGGTAATATATTTTTGAAATTTTGATTTAATTTTTTTTTTTATTTACAAAATATTACTTATTTTAATTTAGGTATTGAATATAAATTTGAATAGACATATAAGAAAAACGATTCATTCAAAATTCGTAGGTACTCTTGGAATTAATCCATCTTATGATGTGAAACCTTATTTTCGATCCCAAGTCCGTAAGTATTCACTTAAATTTATAAAATATAAACACGCTTTATTTATTTATTTATTTATTTTATAATAGAGAGCATGCCTTTTTCTATAAAAGTGAAAGTTTCACTCGGAGAATATCTTAGTCAAATTGTGTTTAGAACCCAACTGAACAAAGGTATGTTAAAAAAAAAATGTTAAGATACTATAAAAAAGATTCATTAACACGCTTAAAAATAATTTAAATTTTGCATTAATATTTAAGAACGCGAACTGTAAGTATCGTTTATGATTTTTTATTAGAAAGAATATTTCATGTTAATTTAGAATTTAATAAATTCTTATTTCATAAAAAGATACTCGGTATGTTTAGTTCTAGCTGCGGCACTATATGCGTTTCTATTTGGTAATAAATTTATGATTTTTTTTGTAATAAAATGTTCATTTATCTTTGACTTATTCATTCAATTTGTAAATAGGTGTAGACATGATCCGTCCTTGGGGTTGTGTGCAACGGTATTGTTGTAATTTAACAAGATATCGTAATAAACTTAAAAAAGAACTCTCAACAATTCCATTCGTCGATCCTTCAAATGTCAATGAAATACAGGATCGTTTATATGCTCTTTAAACCTTTCTAAAAGAATATGTTGTAGATATAAAGCACCTGGAAGATTTAAAGAAAATTGGAAATGACAAAATCCAACCCATTCCTAATAATCATCCTTCTGTACCTTAGTCACATCCTTTACCTGACACTACTAGTACTCCTTTTTTTTGCATCATCTAGTCAACATTATGAATCACTTTTGTTGTTGTTAATACGCAAAGCAAAGCAAATTAATAAGTCATGATTTTTATTTTCATTTGATTTCTAATTTATTATATTTATAAAAAAAAAAAATAAAGTTTTTAATTTTAAAAAGGCAAAAATAACATAAATTAATTTTAAAAAAAAAATTATTTCATAAATTCCTTGCACTTTACATTATGATTTACCACACACGGGTAACATCGAATTTGTTTTTATACGGAAATTTCATATCATTTAAAGTTAAAATGTAAATAAAATCCAAATTAAAACAAATTCGAAGTGCTGGTCTGCTTTTAATTTGTTTACTAACAATTTACACTACAGTAAAGTATAATATAAATAAATAATCAATACAAGCATTTATCATATTAAAGAGCATAATTAAATATAAATAATCAATTAAAATAACTTCCTCATTAATATTACATTTTTTTAAATATAAGATTTTAGTTTTTTAATTTTCATGAATATAAATTACACCTACATTGATCATTGTTCTATAATAGGCATCACGTCAGCCAAGGTTTTGTAACGATGATGGGAATCAAGTGACACTACAAGTATTTAGATTCGATTTATATAACAAAATTTCCCGTTTACTACTGTATTTATAAAATACATCAAAGATAGTTCCGAAAGTAGCATTTTCATCTGTAGTGATTTGTTGTAGGAATTTCTAAATTTGCGATCCTTATTACGCAATCATTAGGTCATAAAAAAAAAATTCAAAACAGATCCTTGATTGAAAATGCGATCCAGTTATACAGAATTCGATCGAAAAGGCTGAAGAAATATCAGGTTCCTAGTATGTGTATGCGGAAAAAAGTTTTGAACAACTGAAGATTTTTTTTTTTTTTTGTTTTTTAAATATTCTATGCAAACAATACATTTGCCAATTTGCAAGTAAGAATTACTATTATTATTATTTTTTTTTTTTAAAAAAAGGTCGGAACATATTAATTGAGCAATAAACATGCAATTTTATAGTTTCCACAAGAATTTATAGTTGCGATAATAACGCAACCAGAATTTGTTCATCCAGAATCCAAAGGACAAATGGCTATTATTTTGGATTACAGTCTGGTGCAAAAGTCTTTGGAGCCAATTTAAATCCAAATCGAGTTAAATTATAAACATTTAAAATACAGCATCTGGACAATCAATTGGCGTTTTAATTGTCAACTTGGATTATTATTTTTTTTAATTTAGCGACGAAATGACAAGACTGCACAGGATCAATCCATTCAACATTTGTGGAATTCTGAGATTACAAATGCAGCTGAAATAAGACGACGAACAATATACCAAGGTCCACAATATATTTCAACTTGGCGAAATTGAAAAAAAAACCGGAAGTTTCATCCACAAAACGCCCCGGTCGCCCCAAAAAAATCACTTCAGAGAGCTCAAAAGCTCTTGGACAGTATATTAGAAGAAATCCAGCAGTTTCTTCTAGAAAATTAGCGTCCAAATTGTCGCTAAAGGGTGTAAATGTGTCCTGCAGTACAGTTTTGCGGCATTTAACCATCCTTGGCTATGATAAAAAGTGACCAATTGCAACCCCGATGCTTACAAGGTTGCATAAGCAAAAACGTATAGAGTGGGCCCAAAACCATATAAATGATGACTGGAAACGCATTCTTTTTTCAGATGAAACATCCTTCTGGTTATTTAGTAACACTGGTTCCAACTGTTATGGACTGGCCATCTAACAGTCCCGACTTGAACCCCATAGAAAATTTATGGGCAATTGTTAAAAGAAACGTTGAGATGCGGCAGCCACAAAATATTGGGGATTTGGAAAATTTTATGAAGGAGGAATGGTCAAAAATTCCACAGGATATTATTAAAAGTTTTAGTTGGGTCAATGAAGGAGAAATGTAAGCTTATAATTGAGAAAAATGGGGAACGCATTCCCTATTAAATTTTTTTTTAATAAAATCTCCTGCTTTTTGGCTTTCGAACCAAATATTTTATCATGTGATTTGGCGCAATCGTTACGAAGTGACTTCCACTGCGTAACCTTCAAAAAATGTCACGAAGTTTTACGTGATATAATTTGTCACCGGTGTCACTTCCCTCCGCGTTTCATTTTTACTATGTATTTTGGGGACAGAGAATTTTTTCGGTAGTGAAATCCTATTTGTCACCACTATTCGTCACATATGCGCCACCAGTCAAATGCCATGATGCCGGCCATTTCTTGAAAGGTTACGCAGGGGAAGTCTTACGAAGTTATGTTAAAAAATATTTGTCCAAAGACTTTTGCACCAGACTGTAAATAATTTAAAAAAAACAAAATCAACTGACGGTAAAATAGTCGTTCGTGCTGAAACCAACGATACAATGGTAGAATTTTATGCGATTGATTCCGGTAATTTCATCATGAAAGAATTTTTTTTATAGAAAAGAATATATTAAAAAAATATTAATCAAAAAATACATAGAAACAATTCTTTAAAACTTCAAAGTGATGAAATTAATAGCACGGTTATTGAAGCCTTTGAAGATTTGCCTAAACTTAGTCACAAACATTATGTATTTGATGGTTAATAAGCAGGTAGGTCTGATTTTAAGATTTAATTTGATGAAAATAAATTTTAATATCAATGCCTATCGTCATTATTCAGCTTTCACGTGTAAGGTTTCAGGAAAAAATTTAATTCAAAATTCAAAGGTATCCTTGGAATTAATCCAACCAATCTTACACCTTATCCAGTATTCGTAAGCAAAATGTTAATGCTTATTATTATTACTTAAGGAAAATTTTGGGGTAATAGAGAGCATGCCTTTTATAATACAGTTATATAAGTGGTCTTCTTATAACCGTACAAAATGTCCTTGTAAAAGTGGAGAATGAACAAAGGTACGCTACTGACGAAATGTAGATACTTTTATGAGACGAATTGATTGAATTTATTAACAATTGAAAATTGTTACACCAATCTTTTATAGAACGCGAACCGTAAGTATTTATTGATTTTTCATTTAAAAAAGGGACTCGGTATGTTTGGTCTTGTGGGCAGTGCTTTGGTATGCGTCTCTATTTGGTAATAAATATACGATTGTTTTAATGAATAATAAAATATTCAGACTTATTCAATACCTTTCTTCGTCAATAGGTTTAGACATAATTCGTCCTTGGGGTTGCATGCGTGCAATCTTATTGTTATGGATTAAGTCATGAAACATATAACAACTTAAAGAACACTTCCTGCGATTTCTTGAGTTAATTCTTTAAATACGGAACAAAATTCTTCACATGTTAAAGAATTGCAAGATCGTTTTAATGCTCTTAAAATTGATCTAAAGGAGTACGTTGTAGATGTAAAATTAAAGAAAGATAAAAGCTGAATTTACCACCTATTTATTATCTTTATCTTAGAATTCTGATTAATATTTTCTGTAATGACTTACAACCTTTACATGGTACTCATAAAATTGTTGGATTTGGATTTTATTGGGAACTAAAATCAATATACATGTATATACCGGTGACAACAAAACTTTATTATATATAAAAATTAATAATTGTAATAATTGTAATAATTGTAAAATTTGGGGTAAAACCTACCACAAATAAGGTAAATAAAAACTTAGTTTGGAATCTTATACTAAAATTTGGAGACATCCTTGTTTAAAATTTTAATTATTAATCTTTACTACTTCTTAAATTACGAATATATATAATTTTACAAAACCAGTGAAACAAGTTAGGGTCAAGTATTAGAGGCGCAACAAATGAACAAAAAAAACAATGATTTTCATGGCCTAATAAAGTGACCTAGTAACCATGATGACCAGTGACCTAAGGTCATGTTATCCGGTGACAGATCTTTCGAAAAAGTGAAGTAACCAGGTCATGCTCCAACACCGCAAAAATGCTCGATATGGTGATCCGCTATGTCCTATAATATATATATATATATATTAAATTAATTAAAAAAAAAAAGGTAAGAAACCTTCCAAAAGAAACCTTCGCTCAAGAACCTGAAACAACAGAGAGAGATAATGATATATAATATAGGTTTTTGATTTTCGTTTGAATATTTTTAAATCTTTAAGAAATTTTAATTAATTGTTTAAAATTAAAGTAGATGAATAAAAAAAATTATTGAGTTAGTCTAAGTTTGCTATAGAAAGTTATAATTAATAATCCTCTTAATAAAAGTAGTAAAATGAATTTTTTTTGTAAATCAAAATTATTTTAAACATTTTGATAGAACATAACAAAAAAATGCGGAGGGCGCATCCAAATTAATATAAAAATTTAACGTTATTATTTATTGTTTTGACAAGAGAACCTGTTGTTGTATCATCGTAGTTGTTTTTTTTCAAGAATAATCTTACTCCAAAAAAAAAAAAAGAAAGTTTAATCTGAATGGTATCTTTTCTTTCAAAATCCGAGATGAGGAAATCAAATTTTTAAACAATGCAATCACGTAATACATGAAACTAATAAGTAGTATATTTATTATTTTTACATTAAATTTTAAATGTTATATAAGTTTCTAAATTCATTCGGGAAATCTATTGAAAATTCAATGATTACTATTTTAAGTCGTGATTTAAAAAATGATCTTTTTTTTTTTTATCGCAATTATCATTTAAAAGTTACTAAAAAAGAGAAGACAAAGATATTACAAAAATTTTTAGATTCACATATAAATAAGCGCAATATTCCTTCTTTTAATAACATTTATATAATAAAATGTATTACAATGATTTGATCATTCGACGTCGAAAGACAGAACCTAAATCCGTACATGTTTTAAGAGCATGTATTAAAATTTTACTAATAGCTTTCCTTTTAGCATATACTACTGTTCTGATTAAAGAAGTGATTGATAGTGACCCAGTTATACAGATTTCAGAAGAAGATAACACCGAAATGCCATTTCCTGGTATGATGCATTTAGTATTTTGCGTGATAACTTTATTAAATAATATCTATATCTATATATATTATTTTCAGACATGTTATTTTACGCCGATTATCCATTCAATTTGGAATGTCGGTTTAGAAGTAAAGTATTAAAATATTTTATTTTATTTTAATTTTTTTTTTTTTTAAAAAATAATGAATATATTTTTGACAATTTAAAATTTATATTAGGTGAAATTGGTGCAACAGCAGATTATAGCTGCAATAATTCTTTAATTCAACCACAACTAGTGAGCAATGTTTATCTTGGATATTTTTTTAATAATAATCATTTAAAATTTACAGCAGATGTAAGATATGCCACTTCACATATAGAAATATATAGCTTTTCTAATACATCTGTTGATTATGTAACTTTTTTTGCTATTGACTCAGGTAATAATAAAAATAATTTTCTTTAAATTTTTTTGATGACAAAATGTATTAAAATACTGTGTATAGAAAGAATATAATCCTATCAAATCTAAAGAGGGTACATTTGATTTGAACGTACCTATTGTTGGTCATGTTAGAGACTTAATCTTGCATAATTCGTATGCTATGATGATAAACATGGTAATATACCGTATTATTAAAATTTTTTTTTTTTTGTTAAAAAAAAATAAATTTATCTAACTATTATATTTAGTATTCATTATTAAAATTATCTAGACGTAAAAAACAAAAAATGAGGAAAGAAATTAGAAGTATACTTGGATTACCATCTTATGATGAACAACCTTTTATTGTATCTGATTTGCGTAAGTACAGTATATGCCGATATTATTTATTATATAAATATTTAAAACTACTTTTATTCATAACAGAGAGCATGCCTTTACTTGATGAAGATCGTGATAGACCCGAAGTATATTTTAGTAAATTTGTTTTAACCGTAGCAACTTTCCAAATACAAGTAGAAACTGAACGAAGGTATGTTACGAAAACTCATTGTCACACCATAACAAATGTTAACAAAAATTGACATTTCTGTGCCATCACTTTAGAATACGTACTGTAAGTTTTATGTGCATATTTCAAATTATGGACTTCGTGTTTTGAGTGCAACATAAATAAGCTTAATTTATAAATTCCACTTGAAAATAAGTTACTTGGTGTGTTTGGTATCGTTGGCGGTGCTAGTAGTATAGCCATGGCATTATATACGTTTCTATTTGGTGAATATATTTATATCTTTTTCTTAAAAAAGAAATAAATTGTAATTAAGATTTATCATGATGTCTTATAAATTCTCTTCTTTACCCTATAATAGGTGCAAATTTGTTTCGTCCTTGGGGTTATACACAAGCTTATTGTTGTGGGTTAAGCTATAGGACATATAACAAACTTAAAAATTCTTTTCCAGTACTTCCGTTAGTCAATTCTTCTTCCTTAATGACGAAGCCAAATCCTTCCCTTCAAGATATTAAAGAATTACAAGATCGCTTGAATTCTCTTGAAATGTTTTTAAAGGAATATGTTATAGATGTAAATTATTTGGAAAAATCTGAGAAAATGGATCTAAAAGTAGAGGATGATGATAAAGAATATAATCTTAATAATCATAATCAAACCTCATTAGATTGAGCCGAAAGAATATTTTAAATATATCTAAGATTCCAATTAAAATTAAATATGGATTTTATATTCTTTAGTTTATAAATAAATAAAAGAAAATGTATATATTATATATTAATAAAATTTTACAGAATGAATTCTATAAGATATTGTCAAATCAAATATTAGTAGTAAATTATTTAACTAAACCTACTAAATAAGTTATACAAGTAATATAATTATTATTTAAAGTGTTTACCTTTATATTTACTATTTGTTTATTACTTTAAAATTGCAAATATTTAATTTAATTTAGTAACAAATTTGATTAAATCAAATTATATTTTAATGTTAATAACTATTTAATAAATTTTTTAACTTAACTATATAATTTAATACTTGATATTTTATTACATATAATAATTATATTTTTAGATTTTATTAACTTTCTAATAGAATTAAGATAATCATATAAATTTTGAAATTATTTTTTTATCAATATATATAATGATCTAAAATAAAATTTTATTAATTTATTGTATTAATTTAAAAATAATTTTATAAAAAAATTATTTAAAATTTAAATATATTAATTTATCTAAAATTTTTTAGAATTATATTTTTTATATGATAAATAATTTATTTAGTCTATTTAATATTAAAAATTTACTTAAAATATGAAATTCAAAATATTTTTTAAAGTTATAATTATTATATTAATAAAACTAATAAAACTTATATAATAAAATATATAATTAAATTTTCAACTTATATAATTATATCTTTCAATACTAAAAAAATTTGATTGATTATAAAAAGTTATATAATGAGAATTTTTAATAAATTTATTATTATTTTTAACCTAATAAATTATATTTATAAAGACTGTATTTAATTAAAAATTTATTAAATATTATATAAAATATTATATTTTACTAAATTATATTAAATATTAAATTAATAAAAACTAGATTTATAATCATAACTGATCAGAAGCTGACCTTAATATTTAAAAATAATACTTAATACCTGCAATATTTTTTAATAAATCTTTTTGATTTTCAATTTTAATTTTAATTTTTAATTTTTGGATTATTAAATTAATTGAATTTTTTTATACTTATTTTTTTTATTATTGTGATTTTTTTTTGATTTTGATTTTAAGTTTCATTCATCTTTTTTTTTGTTTATTTTTATTTTCTTTCCTCTTTTTTTTACTTCCTTTTCTGATCTTTTTTATTTTTTGATTTTTTTTATATTTATATTTAATTTTTAGTATTTTTATTTTTATTTCTTTTTTCTTTTTTATTTTCTTTTTTATTTATTTTAATTTATTTTTCCTTTTTTTTCATTTTATTTTTTTTTTTTATTTTTTTTATTTTTTTTGTTTTTTATTTTTTTTAAATTTTTCACTTTTCTTTATTTTTTTTATTTTAATTTTATATATTTTTTTATTTATTTTTTTATTTTATTTTTTTAAACTTTTGTTTTTTTATTTATTTATTATTTTGTTTTTTATTTTTTAAATTTTATTAGTTTTAGTTTTAATTTTTTAGTTTTTATTTTATTTTTTTTTATTTTTATTTTTTATTTTAGTTTTCAATTTTATTTTATTTTTTATTTTTCTCAGTTCATTTTTTTAAAAAATAAAAATAAAATAAAATAAATAAAATAAAAATAAAATAAAAAATAAAAAAAATTAAAAAAAAAATTATTGTTTTTTAAGTTTTTATAATTTTTTATTATTTTCTAATATCAATGAATTTTTTTCAAATAAAATAATTCAGTTCATCACCTTAGTTAAAGTTAACTAAAAATTTTGTTTTGATTTATTGATTTATTATTTTTTATTTATTGCGATAAGTCTTGATCATAGTAAATATAGGTGACTAAATTATTTTTTAATACATTATTTTTTTATTTTATTATTATTTTTACTGTTATTTGATTAATTATATTTTTTAGACTAAATTCTTTAATTTTATTATTACTTTAAATATTAGTAATCATAATTATTATTTTATTTTATTTTTTTTATATAATTATATAATAAAAATTACAAAAAATTTTTCTTTATTTATTCATGTAATACTTCTATCACAATTTTTTTTAAAATCATATATAAATAACTGTTATTCCTATTAATATTAATATTAATATGAAAATGATCTTCATAATTTATGCATAAAGCTAATCTATTCCTTTCTTTTTAAAAATAGTTATAGCTAATACTATATAAAATAAAATCATATGACTATGACATGAATTGTATATAGTATTAATGAATAAATAATAAATTCTTTAATATTTTAATTAACTAACTCTTAATTATTTTGCTTACGAATTTACAAGCAATTTTATTATTTATTAATTACAATTATTTTTAATTATTTTTAAAAAAATTAATACTTTAATAATAAATTTTATGATGGTTTCTAAATAAAAATTAAAAAAATCATAATTATCTAGTGATTTTTTAAAGATAAATAAATAATAAATTATTATAAAAAAAATTAAAATTTTAAACTCATATATTTTACTATCTATCAATCTCAGAAATATAAAAATATTACTATTTAAAAGTTTTAATGTAATGAATCTAATAAATTAAATTTTATATTTTTATAATTATTTTTTTTAAAGACACAGTAATGCTTACATTTATTATGAAAATTCAAATTCAGTAAATTAATATATAGAAATTCTGAAATCAGATACAAATATAGAAAAAAATAAATTGAACTGCCTAAAACATTCTTGTAAGTTAAAAAACTTATTAGCCTCAGACTAACTGATCATTCTATCATACTCATGAGATAATTACTAGTAAAGTTACATGATAACTAGATTATTACTATACTCTTCTTTTTTTTCCTAATAATAATTTCTATTCTAAATTTAAATTCAATACAAAAACAAGTAACTTAAATTATTATTAAATTAAAAAAGAAGCTAATAAAATAAATATAACTCCAACAAGTTCCTAGCTAAGTTGCCTGATTAATTCCTGATTATAGTAACCTTCTAGCACAAAAACACCCATATCACTAAGTTCCATTAAAGGCTCTTCAGTACTTCTAAACTTTCATGCTAAAATGTCTATCAATTTAGATTACATCTTCTGATAGGCATTGTATAGAGTCCAAATTATACAGTTATGAGAAATTAAAAAATCTTGCTAAAATTGACAGGTTCTATAATGTCAGTATTCTAAAAAGATTATTATTATTTAGAAAAATAATTAAAAAAGTCATTATGTGTGATTAGTTAATCTAAAGTTATTATCAATTCTAATCATTACTTGAGATACCTCCTGATGCTCACTTTATAAATAAAATGAAAAAGGAAAAAATATGAAAAAAATAGCTAAGAAAAGTAGCAAAAAAAATATTTTAACAAAATTATACCACTGTTTAAACTAGCAAAAACTGTTTTTTGGAATAAGAGAGTTTGAAAAAAACAAAAAGAGAAAGAAGTTTATAAAGGGAGTTTTTGTTTTTTGTTCACAGGCTAAGTCATGACTATACATATTTTTTACATAAAAATTCTTGGTTAAGTGATCGCCAGAAAGAGTTATATATTTTTTTTATATTTTTGTAATTATTAGATAAATCATTTTTAAAAATTAAAAAATTTATATTAAAATTTTATTTCATTTTTTTTATAATTATTAAATATCAAAATATTTTGAGTTTTCTAAAATGTTTTAAAAATAATTTTATATTTACAATTTAAGGGATAATAAAATACACTTTTATATTATTATTTATTATTAATATTTATTTATAACAATTTTATATTATCTGATAATAAATATATAATATTAAAAATTATTTAAATATATAAATATAAAATATTTAAAATTACATAAAATTAATTTCACAAGTTATTTAAAAAATTTAAATTTATAATTTATATTGATATTATATAAACATATATTTTTTTTTTTACAAAAGTAAAACTAATTCATTATTTTTTCAATAAGCCATAATTCTGGTCAATATTATAATAATGATATTTTTATCCCAAATAATGATAAGTTCTGACCCATAAAATTAATTTCACGTGATTTGATTTGTGAACCTTTCTAAATTTATTTTTGAAAATATTTAAATATTTAAGTATTACATTTTTATTGGTAAGTATACAATCGACTCTGAATATAACGAACCTGCTTATATCAAAATCTTATTATACCAAACCATGTGTTACAGAACTGATTTTTTTATAATTGATTACGCTGGTTATAACGAATTCATATAATAAAACGTTATATATCGCATCTGAACTAATCTTAACTGAATATGTATATTGAGCCATATATTTGATATACTGAATGATCATGTGATTTAAAATTTAGCATATGAGATTGTGTAATTGAAAATGTTAATACTATAAGTTATGTAAAACGGAATAATATATTTTGTCAACGTGATAATCTTTTTATATAAAACACTAGTTTAAAAACTAATGTTAATCTTGCACAGCAATATAGTCTTTTAATATAATAAATTGATAAATTTTATTGTTATGAAGTGATCACATATCTGTATTTTTATTGGTCAATTTTATATACCAAACAGTTCGATATAAAACATGATTTTCATATAGCGAACTTACTTTATACCAAACCAAATCTTCTGGAATGGCAGGTTCGTTATATCCAAAGTCGACTGTAGACTTCTGACACTATATAACAAACTTAAAAATACTCTTCCAATACTTCTATTAGCAATATTCTTTCTTAGTAACGGAGTCAATTATTCTCCTCAAGGGATTAAAGGATTGTAACATCGCTTGAATTTTCATTGAAATGTATGTTATATAGAGGGTGATTACGAGTACCTGAACGATAAGTATTTTTTGTTTATTCGTTTTGTTTACATGTTTACATATATTTCTAATTTAAGTATTTGTTTAGGATATAAATAAATGTCGATCACAATAATAACAAATAATTTTCTTTCAAATAAAAATGGTTAAAATAAAAGAATTAAATGCTGAACAATATGGAGCAATTCTTTACAGCC